CGGGACCCTTGGTTTGGACGTGGCCACGCGTGGAATTCTTACGCGTCCACAGGCACCATCGTAATAAGTAGAGTGTAGTGAATTCTAAACACTTGGCCTCACAGAGCTGACTAGGGACAGTGCTGTCTTCTGGGGTGTGACGCCGTGATGTTTCAGAGAAAAATACTGCTTCCATCTTTAAGGCGGAAGGGGAACAAAGCAAGTGATCAGGAAGCCTGCTTCTTGCTTGGATTCGACCCTAAAAATTCTGGCAGCGTGTCCTTGCAAAATGTCAGTGAACTTATAGCAGACTGGACTGCGTCACTGTCCATCTACTCGCTGATTACTCGTATAGATCTCGTTTGATGGAAAGAATTTGGAAAGATACAGTTTAGTACTTTATATTAATACAAATTAAACAGGCGCATTAAAGTTATCAGATAAACAACACGACATTTATGTCAGGTTCTTAAAATGTCCTGCAGTGAGAGACCCTTGGCGTGAATAGAATCCAGTGGCAAGCAGTTGTGAACACGCTGTTGGTCACTACGGTTCTATGAGGGGGGGGGGGATATCTTAATTCTTTCACAGTCAGAACACAAATTTTGCAGCTCAGGAGGCTGGGCACACGCTATAAGAGTGAGGAAGCGAGAGGGAGAAAGAACAGTAGGATATGAAATATGGACAGGGAAGGAAGACAACGAGGGGAGATTGTGAAAGAAGAATACGGAGAGGAGAAGAAGGGAGAATAGGAGAAGAGGACATTATGAAAGAAGAATAAGGAGCGGAGAAGAGAGGAGGAGAAGGGGAGATTGTGAAAGAATAAGGAGAATAGGAGAAGAGACGAGAAGGGGAGATTATGAAAGAATAAGGAGTGGAGAAGAAGGGAGAACAGGAGAAGAGATGAGGAGAAGGGGAGATTGTGAAAAAGGAAAACGGTGCAGACAGAGGAGTAAAGGAAGAAGAGGGTGGAGGCTGAAGGTGAAAGGATCAAGTGTTAAAGGAGGAGAAGATGGAAGAGGAGAATGAGAGAAAAAAGAACAATAATAAAAAAGAGCATGCGGCTTATTTCTAAATGCCTTGGGTCTGAAAGGGTTATTCAGATCAGCAACTGTCAGCTTCTCAGTGTTTCTCCTCTGGCGCTTGCTAGTTATGTATACATGTAAGGACCGCCTCTATAGTCACCGGCTACAGATCCAGAGGCCCGGATTCGATTCCCAGCGCTACCACATTTTCTGAGAAGTAGTGGGTGTGAAACGGGGTCCACTCAGCCTCAAGAGGATAATCGAGGAGCTATTTCAGGGAAATAGCGACTCCGGTCTGGAAAACCGAGATTAGCGGTCGTGGGGGTTCGCTGCGCTGACCACGCGACACCCTCTGTCCGCTAAAAGTTGGAACTAACTACGTAGACAAGCGGCGGTCGCTCGGTCGGTATAGTTCGCTTGCTGACTGAAAACCACCGATTTTTTTTTATCCATGTATGTTTCGCGGTTGGAAATGTTTAGTTAAATTTTGAGAGTTGAGAGACACTTCAGGGGAAGGAGATGATGATTCAGCTCGTACGTCAGGATATCAAAATGGATGAAAGAACAGATTGGAGACTTTTCGTGGATGTACGCGTAAACACGGATATGATTCTAGAAGTAAGGGAAAAGGAAACAGCGTGCTATTCGAGACTTGATCTTATTTAAGATCACTTCCTTAGATGCTACACGCAGTTCTGTGTTCCACGTTACATCTCACCAAGAAATGATGCCAGAAACGCTCACATTTTAGTCTACAACCCGGTATAACTTTCATGCCATTACGTCAGAGACTTCCAGCGTTTCCTTTGTTTTAAAGTTTGCTCTGCAGAGTTTCAGGTTTCAGTAGGAACTGAAAGTCATATGACAGGCCTGATACCGCTTCATTCTGTAACGGAATTGATTTAGCAGACGCCAAGTTTGCCATGGTTATGGGGAGCCCCTGCGCCCAAACATTGTAAGAGCTGTCAGGCATTTTCTTAGTTTCTCTATTCGATCTGAATTAGAACAAGAAGTTTTCCAAGAACCAGTACACTGCTTCCCGTTCAGTAAATATTGAGTGTTACGACACGGGCCGCATAGAAAACGCCCCACCAACAGATTTTGAATATAATGTGAAATGACGTCTGAAATCCGGAATAGTGGAACCAGAAGAGACGGCCGTTGTTAGGCAACTGCTCGGTAAACACGTTCCCGCTGCAACGAATACACATGCAGAAACGTTGTTACTGGGGAACAGACAGCAAGATGATCTCATAAACCTCTTTAATAAGGAAAGTAGGCTAGGAATTGGGGTATATTCTATTATATAACACTTAATTTCAAAAAGCGGTCCTTGCAGTTTATTTCACTCATCCATCAATGGCTCTACAGTCCTTTGTTGGACCCTGGTATCATCTTCAGTTTCGTAATCATTTTTATACAGACGGTAGGACTCCGTGGACGGGGGATCAGCCCGTCGCAAGGCCACTGCCTACACGCAGGACAACATAAACACAGAATAAACGCTCACAGACATCCATGCCTTGAGCGGGATTCGAACCCACGATCCCAGTGTTCGAGCGAGCGAAGACAGTTGATGCCTAAGGCTGAAAACCCACTGACGCGACAAGCCGCGCGTGGATTGTCGAGTGTTGTCGCTCGCGGCCGTTATTTGCATTGCTTTTATGAGCCGCGCGCGGTTAAGTTTTGGAACGCGGCACACAGGCGGCAGAGCTGTCGCACGCCTAATATACCGTATTTACGCATGTATAGGCCGCAGCACAATTTTCAGACAGAAATTATAGAAAAAATAATTTTCTTGGAAAAATATTCCAGGAGTATTACACTCTGTATTACTAATTGTGAATATAATTTTTTTTTAAATGAAGTGTGATTTCGAATATAAGCCGCACCCCAGTTTTCCTCTTGAATTTTTGGCAAAAAATGTGCGGCCTATACATGCGTAAATACGGTACTGTATGTACAACTAACGGACGCGCGCGACAAAGAGCGGCTAGCCGCTCGCGACTAGCCGCGTCAGTGGGTTTTCAGCCTTAGACTGCGCTGCCACTGTGATCAGTTTGCAGTTTCCTAAGCAAGCGTACTTCTGTAGAGTATTGTATAGCGCTCGCAGAATCTACACCACAGAGCGTCTAATGGTGGACTGATTGATGAATGAAAAATTGGAAAGGATATGGAAGGAAACGGTCGTAGCCTACTCGAGGTGATAACCCAACATTTACGTTAAAGGACTAAAGAAAACCACGAAGAAACCCCGTGATAGACGGAGTATCAGCCGAGATTCGAAATGAGCACCTCCAAAATACAGGTAACAGGTATTCCTCATTACTCTTATGCATGCTACATGCTCATCTTATCCCGAAAGAGCCGTGTTTGTTACTTCCGGGCCGTATGCCCATATGAAATTGGCCTCAGAAGTCAGTCAGTTTGGAGGGGGCGGCCTGTGATTTTCTTAATGGACCGCACTTTGAAGCAGAGGTGTGGCAGGGGCTTAGGGATGTGTATGGGTTGTGACGTGGAACAGCCGGCAGACCGGATGCTTTCACCCCATCACAACGTGCAATTATTGTACCAGCTGCCCCAAAGGCAAACACAGTCAGTGGTCTGACGCGGTTCTTTCATGAATAAATACGTATTGTGGGCGAACATAACGTGTATTGCTTGGAAGGAACAATGTTTAATGTGAGTGTTGTGACCATACCCACTAACGTAAAGCTATCTCTGTAACAGGCCGTGGAGGCCCAAAGGGTTGTGAGACGTCGAGGCCCCCACATTTTCTAGACAATCGGCATAGAGATGGCGGTGAGGTCACACTTCCGCGTCGGTCGCCCTTTATCCCCCAGGAAGGTTCCTGGTAAGAGGCTGAGTCGACCCCACAGCCATAATGCGATGGAGGGATTACGTGAATTGAAAAATCCAGTGACCTTATCTGGAATCGAACTCGCGACCCAGTGTGGTAGGCAGCAGAGAAACTGTTGTAGACACGGAAGTTGTTTATGCCGTTTTATATAGCATTTTCCCTTCACACTGTCCTGCTCTCGTTTGAGTGTTACTTTACAGCTTGACGCAACCTTACGAAGAGCCTTTTGTGTTCAACAGGATCTCCGGTGTAGCGATTTTGTTCGCCTGTCTGATGTTAAAAAATTGAGCATAGTAATATACTAACGATGACGTATATGGGTGTGAAACTTGGTCTCTGACAGTAAGGGAAGAACATACATAAACTGAAGGTTCTAAGAACAAGGACCGAAGAAGGATGAAATGGTAGGCAACTGGAGAAAATTACGTAATGAGGAGCTTCGTCAATATAATTATTATGATGAAGTCAAGGATGAGAGGTGGGCAGGGCATGTAGCGCTCATGGATGCAAAGAAGAATGCATATGGAATCTTTGTGGGAACGCCAGAAGGAAATAGATCACAAGGAAACTCTAAACATAGTCGGGATAATATTAAAATGGTACTAAACGAGAAATAATGTGAGGTGGTATGGGTTTAATTGATTTGTCTCAGGATGGGGACCAGTAGAGGGCTCTTGTGAACACGGTAATGAACCTTCAGGTTCCATAAATTGTTGAAAAATTCTTAAATAGCTGAGCTACTGACAGCTTCTCAAGAAGGATTTCGTTCTGTGGAGTTAGGTAATGAAATTGGAGTAGATATTAACGTAGACACAAGCAGCTTGGCAATTGCGTTGGGTCCGTTACCACAAGTTGCTTATATTGGTGTGGAATCTTTGCGGCCTTGTGACGTCAATAAATGCAGGAGGTTAAAAGTCAGAAAACTTATGGTCACGTCGATACATTTTCTTTTCGAAAAAGCTATTTCTCTTGTGGTTACAGCTGTGTGTACAGCTGGTCATGTTAAGCCTATGACGTGTACGCGATTGAGTGCGTTACTGGGCAGAACACTGACTAGCAAACATTCCTTGCAGGGTCCCGAATCCGAGTCTTTATTAGTTCGGGGCGTCTCCTGATTGGTTTATTCTTCCTTGCAGCGCCACTTGGACAAAGGCGGCGACTTGCTTGAGGAGGCGGGTCAGTCCGGGAATGATGCACGGAATTCGGGAACCAGTTCCGGTTCCTCGGGACTTAAGGAACTTGCGCGCTCCCTGAAGCAGCACCTCCGGGGGTTCAGTGAGCGTCTGGAGGACACCCGAGAGCGTCTTGAGGACACATCCCGCTGCTTCTACCTGCTGGACAAGGTAAGTGCAGTTGGGTGCTCACAACTTTGTAGACGCGCTCCAGTTCGTGTCTAGGTAGACGCTCCAGTTCAGATCTATGTAGACGCTCCAGTTCGTGTCTAGGTAGGCGCTCCAGTTCAGAACTAGGTAGCCGCTTCAGTTCAGACCTAGGCGGACTGTCCAGTTCGTGTCTAGGTAGACTCTCAAGTTTAGACCTAGGCGGATGCTCCAGTTCATTTCCAGTTCAGATCTATGTAGATGCTCAAGTTCATGTCCAGGTAGACGCTCCAGTTCGGACCTAGGCGGATGCTCCAGTTTGTGTCTAGATAGACGTTCAAGTTTAGACCTAGACGGACGCTCAAGTTCAGATCTAGGTGGACGCTCAAGTTGAGACCTAGACAGACGCTGAAGTTCAGATCTAGGCCGACGCTGTGGTTCATGTCTAGGCGGACGCTCAAGTCCAGATCTAGGTAGACGCTCAAGTTCAGACCTAGGCCGACGCTCAAGTTCAGACTTTGATCGACACTCCAGTTGAGATCGAAGTAGACGCTGCAATTCAGAACTAGGCCGACGCTCCAGTTCAACAGAAGAGTCCGGGAGATAACCAAATCGCATGGAAACGGAATGATCGCAGTGGAGGCTTGTGATTTAGTCTGCGTTTATCGTTGCTGGGAATGGTACGTGGTTAACGGCGTCTTGAGGCACTGGAAGTAGCTTCCTCAGATGAGACGATGTTGAGCTAAGCAGGCGGCGTCTGTCTCAGCGACACTTCCGAGGCGTAGTTCTGCTTGTACAGGAACAGAGCTCCAGACTGGAAAGACACGGACACGCAGCTCTGCACTGAAAGGCACAGACTCGAACGGCAGACCCGTTACGAAGCGTCATATATTTAGAGCCCAGAGGGGGTAATGTATCGAATACCGGAGTCGGAAATTCTTGTGAAACCAATAATACATGTTGTCATGTGTATGAGTGACTATAGACGGGGTTTCAATTCGTAATTGGATTTATTGACCACTTACAGATCGTAACTACAAGTAACTCGAAAGCTATCGCTAATTCACGCATTCTACAATTCACTTCAGCACGACGCATCAAGTCATCATCGGTTGTTGCCTTGTAACTGCTTCCAGCGTCGTAGATCCCCCATCTTCCGTGTTCATGTTCACACTTTTCGGCGAATGTCTCCCAACTAACTAAACTCTAAGAGTTGTCATGCGGCACGGACCTAATAGAAACACCGTTTTTCATTGTTGTAGTTCAGTTTTTGCCGTGGGAACATGTTTGCGAAGCCGTTCCTCAGGGGCTGCAGTATATTTGCTTATTCCGCGGTGGTTGCTAAGCAACGGTTCTACATGCTACAATATTAATAAATTGATATAATCCCATTCTAAACAACGTAATAATAAAGAGTTTAGAACACAATCGTTGTTTGTATTAATCACTGCTTGGGGCGGGATTGAGCGTCTTTAAAATATGCGTCTCAACGTCATCCTTGGTCTTCTTGCTTTGCCTGCAGTAAGCCTTGGTTTTTTATTCTAGGTGTGTCCTCTTGAGATCTGTCATGGATGAAATGGCAGTGGAGCAGGTTTTTGTCCGAGTTTCTTCGTTTTGTCCCCTAATAATCATCATTTTCACCATTGCTTCTTACCCATCTTATCACCACTCACAGAGCCATGCTGTACCCCTGACCACGTAGCACCTTATCCCGTCCTTGGGTTTGAAGTTTGAGGGCTTCATATCTGACCCAAAACTTGGCTTCTTACAGAGTATAATAATAAGTTATTTTGTTTTGGAAAGTCGCTTGTTAACGGCTTGGGAACTAACAATAACAATTCCCAAATTTGGCCTCCTGATTACACTATAACGTCATTCCTGGCCCGTTAGTGTAACTACAGTTGAATGGGGCCTATTCGAAATGTACCAGGATCCGGGTAATTATTAGGCTGTTGTGATTTATAGCTTATTAGATCCCTCCGCGGCTTATGAACGTGAAGTTCATAGCGCCATTTGGAATGGGCGTTACTGTGAATTGCGGTGTTTGCCAGCTTAAACTTGTAAGGAAACTCACTTTCAAACCTTGTTTGCAAGTGCCATGCTGAATATATTATACAATAATCTTCAAGGGCAGTAACTGTACTGCCTTGTTCAACGTGACAGCAGTAAGTCAGATAAAGGCTTTGACGTTACTTTATAAAACTTAAAAAAAAAAAAAAAAAACATGCCAAGGGGTGTCCAATTTTGGGCTTCACCGATACAATGTGTGAGCACTAAACAAAGACAAAAATGATTTCAGGTAAAAGGGTAAAGCTATCTCTGTAACAGGCCGTGGAGGTCCATAGAGTTGTGAGTCGTCGAGGCTCCCACATTTTCTAGACAGTCGGCTCACAGATGGCGGTAAGGTTGTCAGCCTTACGCGCCGGCCACCTTTTACCCCCCCAGGAAGATTCCTGATACTCATTTCTGTTAGAGGCTGAGTCGACCCCAGGGCTGGAAGGATTAGGTAAATTGAAAACATCCAGCTCATCGGGACTCGAACCCTCGACATTTTGGCTTGTAGCATAGTGTCCTAACCAACTACGCTACCGCGTGCCTCAAAATGATTTGAGACACAGCCACAACGTATTGTTATGGCGATCAAAATAAAGATATGATCAGGCCAGCGCAAGTCTCAGTCCCAACTCAGGGGATGAGCCCCCCCCCCCCCAGTTAAAACAAGTGTTTCATAGGACTTCATTACTGTTATGTTATTAACATTGCCAGATGCTGTAACGAAAACCGCCACGGCATCATAATTCTGAAGACCTCTTTACATTGATACATAACGCGCTTCGATTACTAGAAATTAGTGGTCACGATATGAACAGAAGAACAACCGAAATTGATTTTCATTTAAGAAAAAGCTAGAGCTTGCAAAATTTGCTTATCTCCCCCCCACCCCCTAAAAATTGATGCCACCCTAGAAGGCCATGTACTGTTCAATGGGAGTCAAGAAATGCGTGCATTTTACACTGAAAGCCTGAAGAGAAACTGACCTTAATTGGTGGATAATATTAAAGTTGATAAATATAGCAGAGTTCAGATATTTTGGAACAGCAGTAGATCAAAATTAGATTCATGAAGAAATGAAAAGCTCATGTGGGTCAGGATAGGGGCCAGTGGCTGGTTGTTGTGCACACGGTTATGAACCTTTGGGTCCCATAAAATATTGGGGGGGAAATTCTTGAGCAGCTGAGCAACTGGTGGCTTCTCAAGAAGGACTCAGCTCTCTGGAGATAGTTATGCTTCAGTAAGTAGAATATAAGGGTATGAATCATGTTCATCTGGTTTGAGGACATGAGCCAGTAGCTGGCTTTTGTGAACATGGTAATGAATCATTGGGTTCCATAAGACGGAATTTCATGACCAGCAGAGCTGCTGTAGGTTTCTCTATGAATTTTCTCCTTGGATATGATATTTAATTGTAGAAACGTGTGACATGTTTTGTTCATGGAGTGTACAGCAGGTATACACAGATTTGTGCTTCCCGTGGGTGGTGTGAAATGCACAGGTCCTGTTGACTGGCCGCGAATGCGAACTAATATGGTAAATGTGTTGGCGAGTCTGTGAAGGACAGACCACAGGACTACAGTTGAACTTTGTACTTGTAATATCTGCTGACAGATCTAAGTATCACTGAGTATCACTGCTTAGAAGGACCTAACTACTGTCATGATAATCATGGGTGTTGGCGGGGAGCAAGGCTAGCCAGGCATCTCTTGGGTTTTTTTTTGGGGGGGGGGAAACAATAACATTTTAAGAAAACAAGGAAGTATGCAAATATTAATATCAAAAATTGAAATTATTTATACTTGTGTTTCAGTTTGGAGACCCACAATTCTAGAGTGTTCCATGGAAATATTGTTAAATTCCTTAAACCAAAATTTGTAGGAAGAATTTCTGGCTCTCCCATTTGGAAAATATTCTGGTGGCACCTAATAATGATAAGGTCTCATTAGCTAATGAGGTAGACACCCTCACATCCAATTCGTAACTGCATGCATCAAGAGTTCTTAAGAGGCTGATAGTCACTCAGCTAGTCAAGAAATTCCCTGGATTTTATAAAACCCCAAACATTCATGACCATGTTCACAACAGCCATGACCAGTCCTTGTCGAGAATCAGATTAATGGACTGCTCCCACCATATTTCTTTAAAGGTTCATGACCATGTTCACTGCAGCCCACCACTGATTCTTGTCAAGAATGAGATTAATGGACTGCTCTCACCATATTTCTTAAAAAGGTTCATGACCATGTTCACAGCAGCCCACCACTGGTTCTTGCCAGAAGCATTGAATGGACTCCAAAACTTCCCACCATATTTCTTTCATATTTTAATATCTTACATCCGTCTACACGTGAGTCTTCCAAGTGCTCTTTCATTCAGATTTTCTGACCAGTATTCTGTATGCATTTGTCTTTTCCATTATATTCTGCCTGTGTTGTCCACTCATGCTCATTGATTTGATCATGCTGATAATGTTTGGTGACGAGTAGAGATGAGTTTCACACGCCAGTCTGTTCCCGTCTGGCCTACAGACTAAATCTTCCCAGTGTACCCATATGCTTCATGTCCCATCTAGCTCACCATCTTTGAGTTACGTAATTACCCTACAGATATATCTTCTTCAACTTTATGGATTAGTCGCTGTGTCCCGTTCCAATTCAGAATTAATTTCTGGAAATATGCATCATATAGACATCTGTCATGGGTTCAAGTCCCGATGAGGTCATTGGATTTTTTTCAATTGACCTAATCCTTCTGGCCGCACTAAGCTCTGGGGTTTACTCAGCCTCTAACAGAAATGAGTACCAGGAATTAATTAAATAATTTTCCTGGGGAATGAGGCACGACCAGCGTGTAAGGCTGACAACCTTACTGCCATCTTTGAGCCGATTGTCTAGGTAATGTGGGACCCTTAACGTCTCACAGCCCTATGGGCCTTCACGGCCTGTTACAGGGATAGCTTTACTTTTACCTTTACTTTTTTATAGACATCTGGTAGGAATCCTTGGATGGGTGATAAGCACACTGTACCTACACAGGTCAACGTAAACACATTAAATGTGTACACACATTCTTGTCTTGAACAGGATTTGAACCCACTGTACCTTTTCATGTGGTTGAAGAAGGCGTTATGCACCTTGACCATGCACCCACTGTGATTGTCTAATAATATTCTGTGAAGAACTTCACATTCTTCATTATGTAATTTCTTCTATTCCCCTGTTACTTTCTGTCCCTTTGGTCCAAATATTTTCTTCTTCAGCACTCCATTCTAGTATTTATGTGAGCCATAAATTGGCATATTCAGAAGCCGAATTTGAAGCTTGCCCTGACCCTGTAATCCAGCCTTTTTTAAAAGAAACAGCTTCTTAGATAAACAACTTGGGAATTAAACTTCTAGTAACGTAACACGTTCTGTTTGTGGGGATAGAACAGAAGTGTCTCCATGATGTCTGGATCATGGTGCAGATAATGGTTGTGTATATCACCATAGAAAAGTTGAAAGGCCAATTGCACCATAGCATGTTTTTACAGTTTAAGCAGTGAAACATGGTTAGGTATGTAGTGAAATTATGGTTCCTGACATCAGTGTATTAATGTATCTGTTTTATATATTGTGTTCCTTCTGAATCTTATGCAGGCATATGAATGGGCTTTGGAGACATCAAAGTACATGTCTCGTGTGAAGGCAGATGAAGCACAGACACCTGAACAGACTGTACAGGTCCTGAAGCGCATACAGCAGTATCTGATGGCCCACCCACCCATTGCTGACGATCACTTCACGGAGATGGTGCAACTGGCTCGCAAACTGAACAATGAGAAGATGGTCGAGCAGGCAAAGGCAAGCAGCGCATTACATATCTGTAGGAAATCTTCTTTTTCTTAGAGTACAGTATGTTTCCATTTTATACATATCAGTGAAAAAAGTCCCCAAAACTATCATTTTGGAATTAAAATTAAAGTTAAAATGACTGTCTTTGGGCAGTTTCTATTTCTGTCTCCAGGTGAACAGAATGTAAAAGAGAACTTTCTCCTTGGTAGAGCTGCTGTGAAACTGTGGTTTGTGTTTATTGAAATCATGGTTTGATTTTAATAAAATCGGTGTTTTGAAAACTGGTTCTATTTCTTTTCTTCATGTGAACAGGATATGAAAAAAAAATACTCTTGAGCAACTCTTGGCCTGTGTTCCATGGTCAATTATACAGGAACTTTGAATGCCACAGTAAATACAAAATTCATTAAGATCCACAAACCCTGTATGAATTTTTTGAGGAATATAATTTTAGGCCATTTGTAATATGAGTATCTTTACATTAGTGCATTTGTGTCTACTGTATAAAAGAAATTACTTGGTATTCATTTGTTTTATTCCTCTTGTCGAAAACACAACATAATTATATATTATGTTTTGGTAGTAATTGATTTTGATAATATAAAGAAATTTATATTGAAAAGTGACTGTCATTTAGGTTGTTTATTTAATGATGTTCTCAATATTGAGACTATGCAGTGCTGGATGATAGGATGAATAATGATTTTGGAGTAATTGCTTTAGTGAGTGTTTGTAGCAGAAGCTGAAGTACTCAGAGAAAACCTGCTTCAGTGCCACTTTGTCCACCACAAATCCCACATTCAGTAGTATTAAGTCAAATCTTACCCAGTCTTTAACTAACAGAAATTTTATACTAGCATTGTAATTATTATTATTCCACCATAATTTGTATATTTCTCAAAAAATCACCTGATAATGGTCTCTTTCTGGGATGAAACATATTGTGTCAAATAATAGAAACATTTGTTTGTGTGACAGTAACCTCTTCTGTTTAAATTTATAAGGACCATAGACAAGATACAGTGGTACAGGAAGGACTTTTTTGTTGTAAAATGTCCTGGCAACATTGAATATTATTCTGCGCTATAAACACAGATGAATTGTGTGAATTTGAAGAAATTCATGATTTTATTCCTCTTCTGGTGTATACAAATAAGGTTGCTTTGTATGGATTTACCTTACATGCCATGTGTCAAAAGAGATCTTACATTACAGGGTCAAACTGAGATTTGTAGACCATCAGCTGAGTTAATGGCTGCTTGTACTTATCTTGCCGTGGTCATTTCCTTTCCCACCAGTGCCCCAGAGTGACTGTTACTTTGTCAAATAATAAAAATATCTGTACAAATTAATATTAATTTTGTTAAGAGTCCATTGGTACTTCAATTCTGAAGAAAACATTTATAAAGCCCAGAAATTGACTTTATTTCAGCCAAAACTACATTCTAAAATTGTAATTTTCTCAGTTATGATTCATAGGAGTTTGGATAGCTCACTCAGTATGGTAAGAAGTTTGTGGATTGTATGACAGAGTTAGGGTTGAGTTCTTCACATGACAGCTAATTAAGCATGCAAAGAACTTCTGCTTTTACACCGTATTGTTATTGACTGAAGACTGGTTCTATGTATGTTATAATTTGGTTTCAGGTGGCTCAAGGCAGGTGTCAGGAAACAATGGAGCTGATCCGAGCCCAGCAGTCGCGATTGGTGCAAGCCAGACGGCAGCAGGATGGATTTGATGGGGATGAGAGCTTCTTAAGCTGCTTAGACAGATCTTGCATTAGGCCTTTGAGTCCAAGATCAATCCATCAAGGCTGGAGTTCATCTGGTGGAGCTACAAGCACTCCAACCGGAGGAACTGGTGGTGTAGGTCGTCGGCGCTCAGTAGGTTCATTTCCATATATATACAAGTGTAACCATCATGCAGCAGGACATGCGTGCTCATGCTGGGACCCTGTGCCATCGTCTGTTCTGGAGGAGTCCCAGGATTGTTGTTGTAATAGTGCGGGATCCAGGCCAAACAACTTGGGGAACATTCGGGAAGTGCGTGAAAGTGCTGAGGACCTTCTTGACAATGATGCTGATGACCTGGAAAAGGGTGAAGATGGTGTTTGTGTGAGGTGTGGTAATCCGTCTGTATTGGACCAGAGGTGTGACAGTAATGGCACAAGGCACGTGCTGAGGAAGCACCTGCATCGTTCTTGCACGTGGCAATATCCAACAGAAACCTTTGATGAAGATCCCTTATGCAGTGGGGGTAGTGACAGTGGTACGAAACTGTGCAGCTCAAATGATGACCATAAGTATGATTATGTCACGGACAATTCTGGAGATAACACCACTGAAAGCAGTGATGGCTTCCCTAAAAGGTAAATTGCATGAGCTTCATTATGATCCAGTATGGAGAAAGTGACCAAGTTTCGCTTGAGTATCTTTGATTTTCATGGTTGCTGTTGAAGCTGGGTGGCAAATCAAAAACAACTTGACAATTTGAATTACTGTATCAGTTATTTCAGAGTTTTTCTGACTTATATCATCACTCACATAACAGCATTTTCAAATGTTAACGTGTTTTACACTTTGATCGTGATGTTCAGCCAAGGTTTGAAACAAGGGGTAGAACATTTTTTAATCTGGCAGCCAGTGAGATATTTTATGTGCCAGAAGAAGATAGATAGTGTTGTTCCTCTGGTTGACGTACAGCAATAAGTTTTTCCTATTGCAGTGTGTTCTAAAGGTTCACAGGCTAGGCATAAAATAACCACACAAAATCAAAATTTGTAAGAGAGATGAATTGTGATTTACAAATGTCTTTAGATGTGGTTACTGTCTGGTATGTGCCACTTCCAGAAGCCAACTCCCAAATGCCAAGTGATGAGCTGCTTTCCAGATAACATTTTTCACTTGCGGCTAGTGGCCATACATCTGTTTGGAACTGTCATCACTGTAGAATATTAATCCATTTGCATTGTTACTTTTATTCAGCCTGCCTCTGGAATTAACTAACTTAATAAGTTATGTATTTTTTTTGCACATTGTGCATAACTAGAATGCATACGTGGGAAGTCAAATCTGTTTTCATTTGCATGTTTGAAGCCAAGAAGTGCAAAGTGAATTTTGAGGACATGTTATGAATGTTATACTGTTGAAGGTCAACTCACTAATGTTATACCCTAGAAGGTTACCCCATGAATCTTAGACCATTGAAGGTCACCCAAAACTCATTTTTCAATTTGCTACTACTATCAGTAATAAAATGACAGATGCACTAACTTGTTGAGGTAGGAATAATACTTCTGCCACTTCAAAAATGCAATCCATAATAATGGAAAGCCAGGATAGCTCAGTCGGTATAATGACTGGTTATGGACTGGATTATTGAGAGGTTGGAGTTTGAGTCCCAGTAGGGACAAGAATTTTCTTTTCTCCACATTGTCCGCACTGACTCTGGGGCCCACCCAGCCTCCTATCCATTGGCTACGGGGGGCTGCCTTTCCCCAGGAGTAAAGCGGCAGGGCCATGAAGCTGACTACTCACCTCCAACTAGTGTCGGGGTAAAGAAAATGTGGCTCTATACATCCTCTCCTCCATACACCTTCATAACATAGTGCTTAATTAGTTAAGCAAAGGAACAGCTTTACCTTACCCCAAGTGATTTTTATGTCCTTTGCTATTTTGTTACTTTGTATTCATCTTTTCCCATTTAATAATCTAATTGGCTTGGAGGGATGTTTTAAGTGCCAGTACAGTTTCATGAGAGGTGAGATTAATACCTTATGTCTTTCAGCTTTCCAAAGAGAAATATTGGAATTGTAGAGGTTTCTGCTCGGTTATTATTCAGGGGAAAATTTCAGGAACGATTTTCATTTTTTAAGTTCAGATCATGATTAGTATTATATTTTTCCATTGATTTAAACAAAAGCGAACTAAATCATAACAACTACATATACAAAATGTTTTTAAAATGATATCAGTAGCCTGCAAAGAATGTTAGTGTTGTCAGAATTTGTTGAATATGCAGATATGAATATGATTACAGAAGCTAAGTGCTGCAATCTGCCTTACTCATTGTACTTAGAAAAATTTTGTATAATTTCAGTGGTGATGATCTTGAAGAGCACGATGGTTCTGGCACCAGCAGCAAGCCTGTTCCACCAGTTCCTGTCAATAGCCATCTACACTGCCGTGCATCCAACTTGGATCTGGCTGTAGCAGCCCCAGGGAGCAAGGAACTCAAAACACAAAAGTGAGTGCAGCTCACACAGTCCGATGATTGTGGGATTTGGGGTTCTCTCAGTGGTGACTATGAAGATTACTGTTGCTTGGAATGTTGCACCTTCTCTTATGATAGATCTTCACCATTGTTTCAGACCAGAGGAAGCAGGTTCTTTCGAAATGTTAATATGGTGAAACTCCCATTTAATTTCTCATGATATGATGTACAGTGCCAGTGATCCCAGATGTTAAATTACCTGTGGACACTGACCCAAACTCTAAAACTGGCGAGTGTAGAAAACCTATGCATAAATGACACTGGCTTGGGCATTCTCAGTATTATGCTAATACAGTACCCTTATTTTGTTGTCCAAATATACTGACTCCCAAAAGAAACCTTCAGTAAGGGGTTTATTGTAAATACCTAGCAGAGTATGTGCGCTTACTTCCCAGAAGATGGTAACATTTATTTGAATGGTCATTTTTTTCTGGAACATTTATTTGAACGGCCATTTCCTCTGAATATGCTGTGCCACAAATACTCCATATATAACCCTTTAATTGGCATGCACAGTATTGTATTAGCATTATACTGAGAGTGCCCAAGCTGCACTTAAAACTTAACATAAGATGTGTGAACATCAACGAGAATAAACCACCATCACTATGCAACACAATGAGGTAAGAAGTTATTTCCTTTTGAGAAAGCCTGTACTGCATTCCTGAACACACTTGTCAGCATGCTGGAGCTCTCTCCCCCACTATCAATACTTCTCCTACTCCGTCGGAGGACTGTCAGCTCTAAGTACTAGAGCTATACCTTGTAAGCCCTTAAAGTTGTAAGTATGCCTTCTGCATGTATCTAAATGTTCTTATGGCAGATTGCAGACAGTTGACATTTGCATAAGAGATCATACTGACAATCTTTTAGCACTTTTAAAATTAAATTAATGTAAAACTGTAATGTAAGGAGGTTCAAAAGTAAGTTTTCATGGTGAACGATTAATGACACAAATGAGTAATAAAATGTTTCTTTCTTCAGGACGTTGCTGTTAATTATGAGGGAGATGATTCAGACTGAACGGGATTATGTGAAATCTTTGGAATACATAATCGAGGTAATTTTTAGTATTGTGAATTATGTGTAACTGCTTTAGTGCATTCAGTCCTGTATCTGAGACTGGTTAGTTTCTGGTGATGGTGCCTCATCTGTACTGTTGTGGCCCATCAAAGGTTGGACATAACATGACAAAACAGAATATGTGTCTCTCAGTACACACACTTTTAATTCACAGTTTTTCCCTCTGTCTCATGATAGTGCATGTAGACAATTTATTTTATGTATTTAAATCATTTCTGAGTTATTTGTTTGCTGTAAGACACTTGGAACTGCTAGTTACTGAGAAGATCTGGGCTAGCAGGTGACTAAGCAGAAGAATTGCGAAGAGTCAGCGTGATGCTAACCTAAGCAATATGTGAACAATTTAAGACATTTATACATGTCAGCTAGTATTGTTAACACTTTGTGGACCTGCAATTTAAATATTTAAATCACCCTGGGGACCGGCATTTTTAAACCTCCTACCCTAACTTGTGCACTGTTCACTTTAAAAATTAATATAAAATCTCATAATTAATTTTATGAACTAAAATTTTTCGAGAACAAATACCAGTGCTCCTAGAAGTGCTTGATAGTGTGATATTCCTGGAAACATTCCCCTTTGTGAAGTGGCATTACAGAGAACTTGCAAATGTAGGCAGTCATGCTCCTTTTTCTGTGAACTGTGCAAACACGACATTGCCTAGAAGGATGCTTCCCCTTGGAATGTTCACTCTTCACAATTTTCAGGAGGGTATATTTCCGCATATCACCCGAGAGTCGCCCAGGGGGGTCCACAAGAGGCCTGAGAGGGGTGGGAGTTGATGGTCCTGGTCCCAATAAGTCTTTCTCAGACTCTTGTTCCGCCGCCACCATCTGGTCTGTAGCCCAGGCCTTTGCCACATTCATCAGAAATGCTTTGTATTTCAATTTCGAATTGGGGTTTACATTTTTGTAAACCAAAAATGAATTGAAAATGTCACAATTTATAAGTCACAAGGCAACTTTCTTTGTCCACTTTAGTGTTTATCTAGGAAGAGAATAATAGTCCAAGTATTGATCGCCTCTATCAACTCCCTTCATGAACATATTATACTCAGAAATACAAATAGGCTTCTTTACTTGTCTATGTCTCCTTTGAACATGAACCATGCTCGAATTGTGAACTGTGGGAATCATAGTCACAACACGAGTATCTCTATCTCCAAAAAACAGTTCTGCTACTTCAGACACTTGCGTTGTGTCCGATGGAATTTGTTTCACCCCTGGATTTCCAGTGAACTGTCCCAAAGTAGGCATTTTGTCTACTTTTCCCCATGTGGCTGTACCCGCAATTTTACTACCTGCACTTCTTCCTGCACTTTCGTCGGAGCTACTTTCACTTTTATTGTCTGTGGCTACACTTGTTTGTTGACCCCTGTCACTGCCACTGTCTCAGTTTCACTACACCTCTCATAAGGCACATCAAATAGCTCATCGGAGAACGAGTAAGATATTTCTTTTTCTCTGAGATATCGCTTCGTCTTCAACAGCTTCTGTCCTTGATTCATATTGCACTAACTTCCTGCCTGGTACATAACAGCTTGAAGGGTCAAAGATTATTTTCCTTTGGAGGGGGAACCAAAACAGCGAGGTCAACTTAGTACCTACTAGGCAAACGTTCCGGAGTATTATTATGCAGTAGTCATTCATTTTGGTGGCGCCAGAGAGATGGATAGTGTGTTGCAACTTATCGTGTTCTAAAAGTCAGTTAACAGGCAAACTGCCTGCCATGTTTAAAAGCGAAAAACCATTTAAAGGGTGCGCGGTCCTCAAAGTGTTAAGGTACTGTTCTCTGGAAGGCTGTGATGGGCTGGGCATGCAGGTAGGATGAGGGAGACAAGTAATGATTACAGGATCTTCATGGAAGCAAACAGAAGATTAAGAAGGAGGTGGAAAAGTAGCATAGACATGGGCCTCAGAAAAATCGGCTGAGAAGTGGCCAAACTTTCTGTTTTTAAGTTTGTTTAACGACACTGTCAGTATCAAGAATATGTGACGTCAGTGATAGGACGTTGAATGACTGTGAACCAGTTTGTGAAGTGAGATTGATAAGGGAAACTGAAGTTCTCGGAGTATATTGAGTGCTGCTTTCTCCACCTGGATGGAACTTGAATAGAATTGTGACTAATAAAGGGCTTTGTTATTGGTGTATGGTACTGACCCTTGTGTTGTTGGATTTAATTTTGTTATCTTTATAAATGTAAATACATGGATTCGAATTTGGGAACTTCTGAGTGTTGATACAATAACTTTTTACTAAAGAATTTTCTTGCACTGAAATGGAAATCGTCATTCATTGAAATTAGACTTAGTTCAGTTTAACACTTATTCCCAAGGACACTGCTGTTGACTTATCTGCAGTTTCGTGCAATACATTCATGGTTTGCAGTATTTCAGGGCAAAGAACTCAGTAACAAATTATCTAAATACATCCAAGGAAATGTGCTAAGTACCTACATGAACCACCACACAGGACACAGGACAGAACTGGGTGCTCAGTGAGAAATACATTTGTATGTACTTTTATTGGATGTTTTTGTTCTGTTACAAATTTGAATATTATATCAACATTGCAATTTTTAAGCAACATTGGAAGCTACTTTCAGAATATGATCACCTACACTGAAGCTATAGAAACGATAACCATCACTACTGACAAGTAAGAATATTGAGTTTGGAGGTGCTACAGCATCCATAGTTATCCATGGCTTTGGTGACAGGTGCTTTTGATTGGCTGACTTTGGCCAGAGAGGACTAAAAGGGAATAAATTTGGGACTTCTTTCTGTGACCTCAGTATAAAAGGTTAATTGTAATAAATTTTCTATTATAATACAGTTTTTTCCTTCCAGAATTACATTCCTGAGTTGCTAAGGGAAGATATTCCTCAAGCTCTTCGAGGCCAACGTAATGTTATTTTTGGAAATGTGGAGAAGATATATGAATTCCATAGACAGTATTTCTTGCAAGAACTGGAGAAATGTGAGAATAGTCCACTTCTGGTTGGCCAGTATTTTCTTCGTCATGTGAGTTTTCTATGAAAGAAAAATACATTTAAATATGTTGGATTTGAGGTTCTCACAGCTGTGACCAAATAAGTTGTACTAACTTCTGGGATGTAATATCGTGTATTCTAGTAGAAGTCCATCAGAGTTTTGGAAGAACTCACTGCCATCATCTTCAGGGTTGAACTGTGTGACAAGCAAGAAGCAGGCGGCTCGCTGCCTGTTTCTCTCTGGCTTCTTAGTTGGCTTACTCTTTGACCTTGTAGATGTAGGCAGTACATTCCTCTGAAACATATGTGGACTGCTACTGGACTGCACAATGTTACATCTTAGAAGATAGTATTTTTTAAATGTAAACTCTCTAGTTATATGCAAGGCTTTAAATATGTAATTTTTTAAACAGAATGCTATTAAAATTCTGTTTAATGATATTATTCACTGATGATGGAGGAAGGAAATGTCTTTGAAATATTAGACTTGACTCCAAATTGGCATGACTTGTTGCCTTAGAAGTTCTTATCGCTTCTAGTCTCTGTGAAAACTTCCAAGTCTTATAGTTCTTTGATGTTTTGAATTAACGGTTTTGTGACTTGCCATTACAGACCATTATATAATAAGCCATTTATGTCACCCATGTGGTTATTTCTCACATATTTATCCTTCATTTGTATTTTTATAATTCCAGGAAAAGAAGTTCTACTTGTATGCTCTTTACAACAAAAATAAACCAAAATCTGATTCACTGATGTCAGAATATGGAACATCGTTCTTCAAGGTATAGATAGTTCTTTTGTAAGAAGCAGAATGAAGGGTTATTGAAATGTGCTATGTCTGTGAATTGGTACTGATCTCTTCAGGCTAAAAGTTGCTAGTCATTATTCTGTTGTTACTTTTGTTTGATATTATTGTTGGAAGATGGTTATAGGAACAGAAGAAGTTGTGGTAGCATTGGAAGGAATATTTAATTGTTTCTTGCATCCCGTTGTGTATTTAATCAATATTAGAGTTAATTTTACCGACCACACAACACGTTTTTATTTACTGTCACACTACATGTTTCGACCTCTTGAGGTCGAAACTCTAATTAACTCTAATATTGATTGGAAGGAATACCTGAATGATATCACAGTGTCACTTATGCCAATATATTATCATGTAGATAATAAAGCCACTTGCTGTTTGTTTTTGTTCTGTGAAGTCTAATGTCGTAATATACATCCGTCTGTCTTTTCAGAACTTTTCAAGGTATAGAGGTTAGGTAGTTTAATGAAATTTATTTGTAGCATTATCCCAATGACATTTCAGTGGGCTTTATGCTGCTTAAGCATTCATTTCACTAAACAAGGTAAAATTCTTCAAGTTTTCATCTTCCTCACTTCATGACTTCACATATTCAATCCATCTTTTCCGAGCTCTTCCTTGGTATTAATCTTCATCTGATTTTCTACTGTAATTTTGCAACACTTTTGTATGTGTTCATCTGTTTCATTTTTTACTGATTGTATTTTCAGTTATTTTCCAATATCTGCAGTGTTCTTAAGTGCCTCATCTCTACTTCACCTTATGCTGAAAGTGCTTGAGTTATCTGATTATGTTGTTTTGTTAGACAAAACAGGTGGAGCTGGGAGACAAGATGGATCTGGCTAGTTACTTATTGAAACCTGTGCAGCGAATGGGCAAGTACGCTCTGTTGCTGCAACAGCTTATGAAGGCTTACCCTGACAAGGAAGTGGATGTCACAGACATCAGAGCTGCAGAGCAGATGGTGCGCTTTCAGCTTCGCCATGGCAACGATCTCCTTGCCATGGATTCTCTAAGGGACTGTGACGTAAGTAACTTTAAGTATGGATATTCTTCCTGTAATTTAAATAACTCCTTTCAGTACCATCAAAATTAACAGTATCATTATGTTATCAAATGCTTAATTGAAATGGGTTTAGTATATGTTAATATTATATGTTTTGTCCAAAAGGGAACAAGCATAGCTCATTTGGTGTAGTGGCTTGGCTATGGGCTGGATGACCAACGAATCAGGGTTCAGTTCCCAGTAGAAGCATGAGATTTTTTCTGCTTTGTAACATCCAGATTGGCTAAGGGTTACACCCAGCATTCTATGTAATGTTTACCAGGGTTAAAGCAGTAGGAGTGTGAAACTGACAGCTTGTCTCCACATAGTGCCAAGGTTAAGAATGGTGGGGGCTATACTTCCACTCCCTCATACATGTTCATTGCATGGTGCTTAATTAATTAAGCACAGGGATAACCCAGTCTTTACCTAAGGTTTGTCAAGAGTAGACGAGGAAACAGTAAATGTACTCACAGATTCGATGTAAACATATAGTTTGTTCACTATATGTGATCTGCACTACTCCAATCCATAGTATGCCCTATTCAGGACTGGATTTACAGCTGTGGGGGCCTCTGTCAGTAATAATAAATTTAAGTTGTGAAATTTTGTTCTTATTTATTATAGTAACTAATAAACAAATGTTTCATGCTTTTAGAGCAGGAAATGTCTCAGTAAAATCTGTGGATTATATTTCAGTTCTGTGGAGGCCCAGGAGTGACTGCCCCAGTCACTCATCCTTAAATTCAGCCCTGACACTATTCCTGAGTTTTCTGTATGTTATGATCTACCTTTTGCTGTGTTCTGCTTTGTACTGTGGTGTATACTGTACTGATGTCCAAACCAGATCCTCACCCTATGATTGCCAAGCCCTACCATATAACTACCTTCTAGAGCACTTTCACAGATCACCTGCAGACAACCACAGGTGTAGGTAGCAAAAAAACTTGTTCCTTCTCTGAACATTGATATATCAAACTTAATGACATCTATTGACATAAATGCTGTACTAAGTAACATTTAGCTGTTATAATTGGCTTGTGGTGTGTAAAGGGTTAATGTTTTGCATCCAGTTTCAGCTTTCCTGTTGACTGAAAATACAGCATATGACAATAGCATGTTTTAGTACTTATGCTTTGTTCTGCCATGTTAGGTGTGACATGGGGTTAATTTGTGAGGAGTGTAAAGGAATGTGGTATCTTGAAGAGGCTAATATTGCAATTGTAGGGCATTGAGGAAATCTGCATTTCTGAGTCCTGTGTAAAGAAAGCCACGGAAGAAGGACAAAGGAGTATAAGTACAATTGCTAGATACAGATTCCACCGAAAAAAGAACATTCTGTGATGATAAAATAGCAAATAATAAATGAATGGAATAGAAGTTCAATTTGTGAAGGAGAATTTTAACCAAGAATTTTATCTGAATAATTATCCATTTATCTCCATGTCTTTATACACTAAGCTAGTACCCTATTACTTGTTTTTTCCTATGCCCTCCATTGTAAGACCATGGGTAGCACATGCTGCTTAAAGTTTATTCAGTTCCTTCATAAGTGAAAAAGTTAATAGGACTATTTTCTGTGAAAATTTGTATGTGGAATAGATTGTCCTTTTTATGAGGTGTCTCATATTTGGGTGTATATGGTACATATAATGGGGGGAGACACTGAAAAGCTACACGATATTGATTGGGAAATCTCTTGGAAAATAGCCATTTGGAAGATCAAAGACCAGGTTGGGGATGTAACATTTTAATTTATTTGAGGAAAGCAGGTTATAGAAGAGGCCGAGACTGAAATAGGTTTGTGGAGACAGGAAAATGGGGGGGGGGAATTGTGAGACTGGGAGTTGAATAGAACTGGCTCAAAATGTTCAGTGGTGGCCTTTGTTAATAGTGTTGTTGGAGGTCGTAGTTCTGCTATCGGAATTTTATTTATTTTTTTTTTACGAATAAGCTGTACTGCAATTTGACTTCTTTGATGCTTTATACTTTAACAGGTAAATGTCAAGGAACAAGGAAGGCTGCTTCGGCAAAATGAATTTCTAGTCTGGCAAGGAAAGGGAAAGAAGTGCCTTCGTCATGTCTTTCTATTTGAAGAGTTGATCTTATTCAGTAAAGCTCGAAGATTCCCAGATAGGAAGGTAAGTATTGTGCAGTCTGTGTGGATTGGCTGAATGTAATCTTGTCTTTCTTGATATGAACAAAAAGTAATGTAACAGTGAGATGGAAGCTCTGAAATTTCAGTTTAAGGTTACTCTGGTAATGAATTGTCATGTTGTATGAATGTAAGTTATGTAGTAGGTCATGAACAAGTAAGCAGTCTCTTATTTCAGTGTGTTGTGTCTATCCTGTGAGTACTGACAATATTCTCATACAGATATGTGAAGCATAGAATACTATAGGAAAAAGTTTACAGTTGACTGTTTATGCATGTTGTTCATGGGAGATGGCACTGATCATTGGCCTCAATGTATCAGTCAATAACATAGGAAGAGAAAGGAATACGGGAGAAAGTACAGGAAGTTAATAGCACAAAACTTTTATGGAAATGTGTTTTTCTTTCATCTGAATTTGTTTGTAATTATAAACAGAGCATTACATAAAGTGGTTATTAATGGCTTTTGTACTAATTATGTTTTGTTTATATTAATATTTTGAATGCTTGTATCTTTGTGAAACTATTTAGTGTTATATAAAACTTTCTATGGACAGGTATATAAAATGGCATTATCACAATCTCAACAGAGAAAATAATTCAGCTGGCAGTCTTTTTCTGATATGTATTTTTATGTTTTTCTCAGAATCTCGATTTGTACATATATAAAAATAGCATCAAGATGACAGATATTGGACTTACAGCAAAAATAGGAGACAGCACAACGAAGTTTGAAATTTGGTTCCGCAAAAGGAAGCCAAATGACACATTCACTTTGCAGTCTATGTCTGAAGAAATTAAACAAGTTTGGACAGAAGAAATCTCAAAATTACTTTGGAAGCAGGCGCTGAGAAATAGAGGTATGTTCTTGGTAATCCATAGTAATACAGCAGTTAAACTTTTAAAAAAATGTAAAGGTATCCCTGTAACAGGCTGTGGAGGCTCATAGGGTTGTGAGATGTTGAGGTTCCCACATTTTCTAGCTAATCGATTCACAGATGGTGGTGAGGTTGTCAGCCTTATGTGCCGACTGCCCCCCCCCCCCGATTCCTGGTACTCATTTCTGTTGGAGGCTGAGTTGACCCCAGGGCTGTGGTGTGGCTGGAATGATTAGGTAAATTGAAAAAAAAAAGAATGCAGTGATCTCATTGGGAATGGAACCTGCATCCTCATTTGTAGCATAGTGCCTCAACCAACTACACTATGGCTGTGCCATAGCTCAAGCGGTTATTATTATTATTATTATTATTATTATTATTATTATTATTATTATTATTGTTATTGGAGGGGGTGAGTTTCCCCATACACCACAACCAGTTGTTGATCTATTGTACGTCCCCCTTTGATATTCTACCAGTCCCCATACCCTGCCGGTACTGGTGCCTGCTATCAGCCCCGTTCAGCCAACGAGGTCGGCCCTCGGTACCTTGATGCTTCCCCCATGTACCAGAGGCATTGGAAACTACTTGGGCGGGAAACTTGCCTAATTTTGCTCAGAGGTCTCCTAGAAACACGAGAATCTTTTACGTGCTGTAAATCTACGACACGGGACCCATGGCTTGAAGTCCCTCCTGGAGGACTTGTTCCCTGAATTTTTCTGCCCTTAAAAATTCCAAGACCTCCGCCGGGTTTGAACCTGCGTACCTTGAGTCATGAGGTGGGGACGTTACCCCTAGACTACAGAGGCCGCTTAGCTCAAGCAGTTAGTCGTTGACCCGGGTTCGATCCCAGGTCTGGTCAAGTGGGATTTGTGGTGGACAAAGTGGCGCTGGTCCAGGTTTTCTCAGAGTACTTCGGTTTCCCCTGCCAATCTTCATTCCACCAAATTCTCCATCATCATAATCACCCGGGGCAGGCCACAATAGGCCAATCAGTGGCCACCGTGCCGAGTGTACCCAGTTGGACTCCACCCCACACCAAGCGAATAAAAAAAACTACACTACCGTGTACCCCACATTATTTGAACTGTATCAGAATTAAGTTTTTTTTCAAGCGATCAAAGGAAATGTCTATGAACAAACCATCATTTTGTGTCCACACACGAAATGAGTATACATTTCTTGAAGCCAGAGCCCTCTATGGCAAAATTATGAACTTGGGAACAGTGAACTGTGTTCTCACTTTAGAGGACTTCAGCAGAATCATCCTCTTGTAGTTTCATATTAGGGAAACGATTAAATGTGTTCTTTTTATATCATGGTCTTTTGTGTGGTGACACCACATAGTGTGGGGGGTGCTTACAAATGTTCTGGGAGCACCTGCTTTTAGGATAGAAATGAATATGGAGGCAGCAGATGGCTCCAGATGTTAGTAACTGCCAATGGGACTGTACCATGGCATGACCCTGAAGGTCACAATTTGAATCTTCACCATTATGAAAGTGGGTTTTCACACTCTTACCTTCTCAAGTTCATGGTTTATTCTGAGTAGTTTGTATGGTTTGGTGAGTGATGTGTCATGTGCTTGATAGATTTAAGGGATTCCTTTACTCTGGAGAACTGTGTACTAGTTCAGAAAAACAAACTATTTGAGAAGCAGCTATAGCATATAAGAACCTTAATTACTTCTATTAAACTTGTAATTTTACCACTGAAATGGCATTTTAAATCTCTTCATTATTTCATTTCACTTCAAATTGAAATTTTTCAGAAATGCGCCTCGCTGAAATGTCTTCGATGGGGATTGGAAACAAACCCTGCCTAGACATAAGACCAAGTGCTGACCAGATAAGTGATAGGTCGATCAGCATTGCACAACTGAGCAAAAGTAAGTTTGAGAATATGCAACTGTATCAATGGGGGCATTCATTCATTCATTCATTCCCTTTATTTTCCATATATCTATACAGGTAACAAACCTAGGATGTGGAAATGGTCCCTTTGAAAATAGATAAGTCAAGATACATATACAAAATTACACTAGTCACATAATCAAAATCACTTACATTAATTAATTAACATAAATAATAATATAAAGTAAAAAATTTAATAAGATAATTTAAAAATAACTTACCTTAAAACTTGAATTAATACAGTTTTATTTAAATTACCTATATTAACTGAATTAAATACATTACAAATTTACACACTCATGACCAGTTATGTTGATAATATTCATTCATGGAATAAAAAGAATGATGATATAAAAACTTCTTCACTGCAGATTTAAAACTTCTCACATCAGTAGCCATCTTTTTTATTATGGAGGATTTGAGGTTTTCACAGCGGTGACTATGAAGAAAGTCATCTCCTGGGATGTGGCGCCGTGTAGAAATTGTGTTAACCGACGTTTAGGAGGAATGTATGGCTCTGTACCATCTCTGGCCCGCTACCTGCTCGCTATTCCACCAGACCCTTCCCCTCCCCCTCTACTGTTTCCCTATGTAGCCACACTCCTCCTCTCCTCTTATACAGCTATGTTTACTCGACTGGACTCAGTCTGTTACACCTGCTCTGCTGGTTCGCTCACAGATTTCTTCTTGGCTTCTGCCCTGAAGATGGAGGTGATACATTTCTCCGAAACGTCGGCTAACACAATTTCTACAAGGCACCACATCCCAGAAGATGGCTTTCTTCAACTTTTTTATTGTTTGAGGAAAATGATTAAAAACTTTAATACATGATATGTATGCACCTTTATTGTATTTTGCCAGGTAAACTGCAGGTAAATATAAATTATTGAGGGCTCTAGTTTTGTATTTGTGAATCTCATTGTTAAAATGAAATAAAAGTTTATTATTAATTGTGTATAAAAATAACTAGAAATAAACAACAATTATTATGAACAGGATAAAGCATCATTAATGGAAGAAGACTGGGAGTTAGTTGCAGGAAAAAAGAAAAGGAATTTGTTTGGACTAAATAGAAATCTAATACAAATAATACCAACTAATTTGAATAAAGTGGACTTAGTGCATAACCTCAAAGATGATTAAGAACGGACTAATATGCAAATGAATGAATTAGGAGAAACAAATGTGATGGAAATCCAACAAGATAACCAGTCTATCATAACGGCAAACCGCTTTAAAGTGCCATCGAATCTCAAAGAGCCTGAATTCAAAAAGGTAACACTTCAACAAACAAGTGGGAAGGTTAGAAGAAAAAAGGATAATCTTCAAAATCCAAGAAACAAGATTTTATTTCTTTGTGACAGTCATGTGAGGGAAATGGCGGCTAAACTACGACATAACCTAGATGTGGAATACAGTGTTCAAGGACTAGTGAAACCTGGTGCAGATCCAGCAACAATTTTAACTTCAGGTGAATGATATTGAGGACTTCTCTAAAAAGGAGTTGGTGATTGTGTGGGGTGGTACTGAGGATGTTAGCAGGAGTGAGACTGATAAGGGACTGATCCAAATTAGGAACTTTGTAAACAAGAATACTCACACAAATGTTTTAGTTATGAACCTAACACATAGACATGACTTGGGGCAAAAATCATGTGTAAATGATGAGGTGAAAAGGTTTAACAGAAAGTTAAAAAAAATTATGAAGGTTTTCAGAACTTCACGTGTTATAGAGCTAGAATCCAAAAGGGATGAACATTTTAAAATAATTTTTAAATTTTACAATGACGTAATGGCAAGCAATGAAATAGATTGACGTAAATGGAGCGCCTGATGATGGCACTGTAGTGCCGAAACATGTTGTGAAGTAACAAGTAAAATTGAGTGCACTAAAAGACGGACACTGCTTGCATATCATGGACAAAAGTGACTTGATTACTAAACATGGGGTACATATGAATTCAAGAGGTTAGGAGCAGATAGTAAAAAGAATAGTAAAAGAAATTTTGGATATGTGGAGGGAGAAAAAGTGTGACCCAATTATAATGAAAAGGAAGGATGAACAAGGGATGGAAGGGGAAGGGACTCATATTCCACCAACAAATGGACCCTTGAAGACAGGTGGGAAAAGAAATGGTCAACCCAGAAACATTTGCTTGCTCTGGAAGGAATCTGAAAATTATAATGCAAATCTGCAAGCTGACAATTGTCCAGCTATGAATGACTCAGTAAGAACAACTACAGAGCCAAAAAATGAACCAGTACGCAAATCAGATAGACTCCAAAAACTACCAGGTATGAAAAATAAGGATATTTTATGGTAAATGAAGGTGCTCCAAAAAGAAGTATTTCCCTAAATGGAGTAACCAAAAAAGAAAACGATATCAAATTCTTAAACATTTCCCATTAGAACATTAGAAAGCAAATGAGCTATTAAGTCATCTATACCCAGCCTCCCCACACATATTATGTTTTACAGAACATCACATGAATTTCTTGGAATTGCAACAGTTGAACATAGATTCATATGAACTAGGAGCAAACTATTGTAGAACATTGTATGAAAAAGGAGGAGTATGCATCTATCTACGCACAAGCTTGAAATTTGTAAATTTAAAAATAGACTTAAAAAATATTGTAAATAAAAAGTTTTTGAGGTATGTGCTGTTAAGTTAAACCTGGGCTGCAACAGACTGTATGTAATTACAATACATAGAGCTCCGACTGGAAACATTGATACATTCATAACAAAACTAGATACAGTACTTACAAACCTATATACCTCAACACAAGAATATATTATTTGTGGGGATATTAATATATATTACCTTGATAGTGAAAAGAAAAACAAGTTACATACCTTGTTGAAAACTTATAATTTAATAAGTACGATAAGTTTTCCCACCAGAGTTCAAGGAAATTCTGCTACAGCCATTGATGATATTTTCATCGATATTACTAGAAGGGAAAATTATTCTGTAAGGCCTATAATAAATGTCTGATCATGATGCACAATCCATAACATTTAAAACAATAAACATGAGAACACATGCCAAACCATGTAAAATAATAAGGAAAATAAGCAAACACACAATCAATTTTTAATTAAATTGAGTTATGAAACATGGGACTCAACATTTTCTAGTGATGATGTTAATATAATGTCTAACTCATTTTTAGACACTTACTTCAAGATTCAGTATTCCAGTTTTCCAAAAAATTAAAATTTCAAATGAAATAAGTGATTGGATTACTATAGGAATAAAAACATCCTGTAAACGTAAACATGTAGAAACAGTAATAATTCAGAATTAAGAAACTATTATAAAAAATACTGTAAAATTTTATCTAAGATCATTAAGGAAGCTAAAAAACTAAAATATGATAACAAAATTCAAAATTCCGAAAATAAAAATAACCATATGGGATATAGTAAAATTAGAAACTAATAAGGGCCAAATCATGAAAAAATATGCACATTAAAGGTAGATGGAAAATGGATTAGAGAAAAGCAAGTAATTGCGGAAACCTTTAACAATTACTTTTTATCTGTAGCTGAAAAAATGCAAAAAATAAACAAAATAATACTAATATTAGTTAACTTCCAGACACTAATCCAATTCAATATTTAATGAAAACTTTTATAAATCCCTTTCCACATATTAAACTTAAATCTTTATCAACTAAGGAAGTTGAAAATATAATTAAATCTCTCAAAACAAAAAACTCTTATGGATATGATGAAATATCCACTAAAGTATTAAGAATGAGTTCCCTTTTCATTAGCTCTCCTTTGACTCGCATATGCAACAATTCATTATCACAAGGAATTTTCCCAGAT